AAGGATCTGCTTATATATCTGAGATGAGATATTGTAATTATTTACACTTTACATTGTTTGGAATCTCTCCTCATCTTTATTGTAATAGTTACGACGTTTCGGCCGTTGTACGCTCCGGCCTTCTTCTAGGATCTGTTTATATTTCTGAGATGAGGTATTGTAGCTATTTACATAGATTAGACTGTTGTCCTCATTTTTATTGTCATATTAAAAAAAAAAGCCATAGCACGTGGAATAAGAATCTATCCCAGTGGACGAAATAAAGGTTTAGATTCGAAATTCCAACGTATGTCACCTGAAGAAGGCCGGAGCGTACAACGGCCAAAATGTCGTGAATATGACAATAAAGATGAGGACAACGGTCCGAACAATGTAAATAGGGTAAATAACGTTCATGATTACAAATAGGATTTGATGATTAAAGCAACGAATTTTTCAGTTTTTGATGTAAAATTCGCCCGATCAAGTTTCGATGCTCAGTCTGTATGTTTTGCATTGAAAATAAGAAAGAAATTTATTGTCAATGGTCAGGAATTTATGTAATTGTTACTGAAAGCAAAAGGATAATATATTTACAAGTGCGTTGTTAATGCATTTTTTATAGGCTGGGAAGAACGCGGAAGTTTTAAGAGAAACAGGTAAAACAAAGGACCTTCTGCTAGCAGTCATTAAAAAAAACAGCTAAATTTATGAAAAGCATGATGAAGAAAGAAGTCACCGAGAGTTTAACACGCAGAGGGCCTATTGAATGCAAGAGAAGCAGGTAGAAGCAGCAAGTAACCTACACAACGTGAATATATAAGGAGGAACGCAAAGACAAGAAGAGCCACAAAGACAAAGGCAGAGGATCTTCCCGCAGCAGTTTTCCATTTCTTTCTGCCAGCAAATGCTTTAGGTCCTGCTATTCAACACATAGCTGGGGGGTGGGGGAGATGGATTGATACCTTTCTCAAGGGTATTAGCGCGTAAGTGAATGTAACAAACCCAGCTGGCACTCCAATTTCTCCTTCCGATATCCAATACGCTACAACGCTCATCTACTTAGAGCAATAAAAAATAGGAAATGGTGGAGAGTCATGATCACCCAGATTATGAAAACACATGGTACTTAAAATAAGATTAAATTATTGCAAATATTTTCACCCTAGAACTGGACTGCAAATGATAATGTCACAAAAAAAAATTGAAGCTAATTAAAAATATATTGTCAGTGGGCATAAATTCTTGCAAATTCCAGAGAGAGAATAGAACGATATGTCTTCGGGTGTAACAATTTTTTTAAAGACATGTTACATGACATCAGTCCTTCTTTACGGCAGCGAATGCTGGGCGTTTCCTCAAAGATGAAGAAGAGACTCGAAGCGACAGACATGTGGTTCTATAGAAGGGTGCTAAGGATAACATGGACCGAGCGTGTGAGCAACGATGAGATCTTAGAGAAATTGTAAACAGGGAGGAGGCTTATAGATGAGAGAACATGGCCTGGGGGAGGAAGCAGAGGGAAGGAACTTGTTGAGAGCTGCAATGGATAGAGGGAGGTGGAGAGCCATGATCGCCTACGTCCCGAAAGTACACGAGACATAAAAAGAAAGAAGAATCTAAATTTTATTTAATGTACAGATCTAAAACACTACATGTCTCCTATATTATAATTCTTCTTGTTCCTTCGTTAGTCGAAAGTCACGTACATTACACCTTCATAAATAATTTACTATTTCGTTTTGATCATGAGGAAAGAGGGGAAAAGCAATATGAGAGACGCTGTTTTGTTTCACTGAGAAAAACATAGAAAGAGGAGGCGATAACGCAGTGATGTGTTTAACGTCTGCTTCAGTGAAATAGAAAAACCTGGCTAATTTTTAATCTTTTCGTTTATATCATCATACATTTTTAAATAATATGTTCATATTAATTGCAATATTTTGTTAATGTTGCTAAGATGAAATGTTTAACAATCCAATAGGGAGATTTCCACAGTTATTTTATAGTGACAGAACTCGCAGGGAGCTTTATTCAATTATTAACAAAAGATACATCAGAGCTGATTCAAACAAGGAAAAAAACGGAAGTTTCAAATGAGAAAGAATAAAAAAAAATCCGATATCGGGAGACCAAGTCAAAAAATACCGGGTGAAGGCATAAATCCAAAGTAGGTAACAAATGTGTATCCCAAACCTTGCAATGACCTTCTTCAGTCAGGCAGATTTCTTGGTTCTTCACATCATCTAAAGTAGAGTTCTTTTCTCGGGGTAAGAATGGTTGTAATTGGTCGAGTTTGGTAAGGAAGCATAAACAATTAATATATTTCGAGGCCCGTTAAAATCGACCAGATGTTGATTATGATTAATTTTTTGTTTTTTCATTTGAATCTCCTTTAAATAATGACTTGCATTCATACTTCTGGTGATTTTTCTCACCGTAGCTTAGATGTGGCACAAGGCCGAAAGTATAGGACACCCAATGAGGATTGAGCTCCCGATTCAGTTGTTAGCAAGACAAGCTTGTGAACCATTACACTACGTCGAAGTATCCCCTGAATTCATACTTATTATTTAGTTGTCGTTGTTGAGCTCAAACTTATGACGATGCAATAAAGGAATTTTTAGGAGTATTTTTATCATCGTGAAACTCGCAAAGTGTTTATTCATTCATTAAATTAATGAAATAAAGGAGTACTTAATTCTTATGTAATATCGGTCCTCCTCTATGGCCGTGGGTGCTGCACAATCTCACCAGGGATGAAAAAGTGATTTGAAGCAACAGAAATATGGTTCTACAGGAGGATGCTGAGAATACCATGGACTGAACATGTGAGCAACATCTGTCCTCCTATATGACCGCGATTGCTCGACAACCTCATCACAGATTAAGAAGAGACTTGAAGCAACAGAAATATGGCTCTACAGGAGGATGCTGAGAAATTTATACGGGACATAATGAAGAAAGAAGGATTTGAAAATTTGACTGGACATAATGAAAACAAGAGAGACCGTGGCAAACAGCGCATAACCCCTGTCTAACGAGCTTGTATAAATGGTTGGAAGAACAGGGATTAGGAGAGATAGCGAAAAGACAAAATTGATGAAGATGTACCAAGGAGAGGAAAATGTGGAGATAAATGATTACCAACATCCTGAAGCGACACGGCAAATACAAGAAAATAAAGATAATTTCAGGTAGCAAAACTGTGAAATTTATACGGTTGCTATTAGTTATTATTAGTAGTAGTATAAGCGATTACCGAAGTTAAGCAACGTCGTGTCTGGTCAGTATGTAGATGAGTGACTACTTGGAAGATTAGCTTGGATGTACGGATGGTGTAATGGCTAACAGCTCTGTATTAACGGAGAGTTAAAAAAAACAAACAAACAAAAAAAAAAAAAAACGAAAATAATTATGATACATCCCAATATTTATTAGAGATTTACAATGAAAATCATGAAAGATATTTTGAATCAATTGCTAGGTCTGCTTCTCAGAAAGTTGGTTCACTGTGTGGTGCTTTGTCTCCAGAATCTATCTTAAACTTTTATAAGTATACCATTCGTCAGTGCTTTGGATATTGCTTCCATGTCTGGTGCTCCTGCTATATATTTAGAGATTTTTGATAAAATGTAAAGAATCTGCAATGTTATTGGTCCTGACCTGGCATTATGGCTCCAGTCACTTTCCCACCGCATATCTCACTTGTGGTATTATTTTCCGGCTTATTTTTTCCCAGTTAAGTTTAATCTTTTAAATGCAATGTCAATCATTATCTTGTCTTATCAAAGTTTTTTATTGTTCTCAACAACTTTTTTTTCACATCTCTCACACTCAATAACCCCTTGCGGCTTAGTGGCTTTATTACCTTGCTGTTTGTGTGGAAATTGTGTATCGTAACGATTGTCGACGCGGTCAGTGGAATCATAGAACCGAGTTCAATTTCCAGCCTAACATGTTGTTATCCCTGCTGCCCAGCCTCCACTTTCTAGTCTCGATCGAATCCAAAAGCCCCTCCGCGTCCTTGTGGGTGATGGATTATTTTCCACCCTACAACTTCTTTTCCTGTCTTTCTATATCTCTGAAATGCGGTATTATGATTACTTGCATTATTTACATTATTCGGACTGTTGTCCTCATCTTCATTGCCATATTCATAACGTTTCGGCCTCTATATCTCTGAGATGAGGTATTATGATTACTTTTTTACCCATTAAAATAGATAAATGAGATTTATTTCTATTAAATAATTTTTTTCTATACATATTTAGTTATCAAGTATCTGTGTACAGTTAATTATATGAAAAGTATGTTTATTTAGTTGGAAATACAATAAATTAAAAATTTGCATGTGTACGAATATTTGCTTATCCCCACTATATATCTTCTCCCCACAGCTATAAATAAAATAGTAGGGTAGATTGGGCTGTCTAGCCTTAAGTGGCAGCCAGCATAAAATAAAGTTCAATATAACTACTCTTAAAACCATGGAGACGGCGATAGAGAATCACTACACTATATTTCCCAAGAAGTCTTTTCAATTCTTAAATAAAGTAAAGGAATCTGTGGAGAGCCATGATCGCTTACATCCGGAAGGAAGATTAAAATGTTAGCTTATGGGTTCGTATTAATAACGAGTTTCCAGAAGTTCATTTCTAAACACAAACTTTCCTTAGGATGCATGAAATTGCCAAAAATAAGTTTCATTACGCAATTCTGGGATGTTAACGCCAAACGGCTGAGCGTTAAAAAAGATGTTATGGATTCTGATGTAAAAAAAAAGAAAAAACATTTATTACATAACAAAACTATAGTTATTAACTTTGACATGCATGCACATACACTGACATTGTGATGAGGTTTCCTTCTGTCTATAATAATACAATCTTAAGAAGGCATTTACTCATATGTATGCGGAGAGAGAGAGAGACCGAATGAGAATATGAGTAGAGAATATGAGTATATGAGAGAAAATATGAGTATATCAGAGAGAGAATATGAGAATATGAGAGAATATATCAGAGAGAGAATATGAAAGAGAATATCAGAGAGAGAATGAGAGAAAATATATCAGAGAGAATATGAAAGAGAATATGAGAATATGAGAGAGAGAATATAAGAATATGTGAGAGAATATATGAGAGAGAGAATATGAGAGAGAGAATGAGAGAATATGAGAGAGAGAATGTGAGAGAATATATGAGAGAGAGAATATGAGAATATGTGAGAAAATATATGAGAGAGAGAATATGAGAATATGAGAGAGAGAGAATATGAGAATATGTGAGAGAATATATGAGAGAGAGAATATGAGAATATATGAGAGAGAGAATATGTGAGAGAATATATGAGAGAGAGAATATGAGAATATGTGAGAGAATATATGAGAGAGAGAATATGAGAATATGTGAGAGAATATATGAGAGAGAGAATATGAGAATATATTCATAGATAAATATAAAGTGACAGGGAATGTAAGATACAAGGACACCCAAAAAGAAAACTTGTATACGAATATACTTGCTAAAAGAAGAAGAGATTATAATATAATCACTTCTTTTTTAAGCTCGTACTGTCGGATTAAAAATGTATTTTTACGATATTTTAAATTTAAAGTAAATTAAATACTATTTTATTTCAGAGCATATTAATTCTACTTTAAATCAGCTAATATTTCTAAATAAAGTTTCAGAAAAGTATATTTTATTTTTTGAAGATTTTTTAATACAGAGAATTACATTGCAATGATGGACGACTAAAAACGGTGCTAATCAGTTATTTTAGTAAAGAACATCGTTCCCGTCAATTTAAATTAGTTTTTGAAATGCAATAAAGTATTTTACTTGTGGGAAATATTAAATTTAATCTATTAGCTTGAAATTATAACTGAAATAAAAAATTCAAGAAATATTTTTCATTTTTTAAATTAAATATTTTTTTCAAATCATGTTAATTGTACTTTAAATCAGCTAATATTTCTCAAAAATCTTTTTAGAAAAGTATATTTTATTTTTGGGAATGAGTTTTTGCTCTGACAAAACCATTTCTTCCTGATTTTCAATGGATTTATGTAAAATTATTTGTAATCCGTGTCTAGATTGATATTATTTACAGTGCCTTTGTATTTTTTTTATTTGTCATATCCTTTTAGAAAGTCTGTGATCATGGCTCTCCACAGCTTCTTTTTTATTATTGCAATGAAAGATGACGAAAAAAAGGACGCTCATCAGCTATCTTAGCAAAAAGCAAAACAAAGGACCCCAAATAATTAGATTTCGAAATAGAGCAAAGTATTTTGCTTATTGGGAATATTAAATTTAATTTATTAGCTTGAAATTAAAACTAAAATAAAAACTTTTTTAAGAAAGATTTTTTAATTTTAAAAATTTACTTCAAACCTTAGGTATCGATTTTTTTGGGGTGGGGGCAAGATTAAATGCGTGCTAAACACACACACACACACACACACACACACAATGTACTTGTAATATATTAACTGCTATTGAAAGAATAAAGGTATGTTAATTCCTGGCCACTGACAATTCCTTTCTTTAAGATTTCAATGCAGAAACATTAGCAATGCATCAAATTGATGCGCATAATAGCACTATCTTATCAGTAGCATTAGCATAAAATACCAAATACTGACAAAACCTGCGATCATGGCTCTCGACAACTTCTTATCTTTTAAGTAGCGCTGGGCCCTTTACCATTCCGTTTTTGTGTCTATGGTCCTTATTCTCTACCTCTGCTTCTCTTACTTTCATTATTCCCTGTGTGTGTCAAATTCTCTGAACCTTCTTTCCTCATTATGTGTTCCCTACATTTTAACTGTTAATTTCTTATTCTTATAAGTTGTTCCTGGTCCCCTTAAAACTTTCTCGTTGTTCTCAGTGTATTTCCCCAATAACAAACTCATTTACAAATCTATCATCTTTATTCGCTCAGTAACGGTCAATTTATCTCTTGACAATTGGCAATTTCTTTATTTCTTGTCTTCGAAACACAACTTATTTGAGTACCAAAGCAGTAAAACTTGTTGAAAATTGCCAAATTAGTTGGTTTAATGATCAAATTCTGCTTGTAAACTTTCATATAGGAAGAAAATGAGTAACTACTGACACCGAGGCTCTTGCGTGCCACTTTACCAAGTGTATGAATAGTGGTGTCAGGCTACTGACTGCAGTGATTATTGAGTGACTATTGAGTGGAACTATCCAGTCGAATTAGTGTGAATTATTGTGCGTCGGTGATTTGGGTTTTGATTTAGGATTTACCGGACGTTAAGCCGAGTCGCGTTACTAACAAGGTATTCACTGAAATGGTTATTCACATCTTGCTTTATCATTATAATCACATAGCATCGTTTTTGAATTAGCTATGTAGTGTTTTGATAAGCTTATAACGAAAACTAAGCGGTCTGGGAGCGAAACCGCGAATAAAAGGCTCTTTATGCAACACGTTGTGGTGCTCGGATTAGCAAGCTTGTATATCACCTGTTGTTAATGAGCTGTATTAGAACTAAAACTACACTGAAGGCGCAGACAAACTTTTTCCGGTCAGTGTGCCGCATGTGATATATCATATCATAAGGAGGACATCACTTCTAAAAAGATTCAAGGTAATTTTTCATTGAAGGTGTTTCAGTTGAAGGTGTCTTTTCACTAAAGAACACACGCATCAACGTCTGCTTTAGAAATGGAAAAAAGTTGATTTCTTTTCTTTGGAGAAAAGATTTTTCTAGAATGTAGGCGTTCTGAAAGCAAAGGAAATATTTGTCGCAGATTTCTTCCCCAACGCAGAAAACAAATCACTGTAAGTTCAGACTCGAATATCGGGGGCAGAAAGAAATGCCGAAAACTCGACTAGCAGGTACTATCTCACAAATCCCAATGCACGTAACCAGTCAGAAAAATAACTTACTCTCCGACGAACGCGGTAGCCAAAATACATCAATTTCCGATTCGAGAACACCAACTGTTTTTATCGGCCGAGCATTTTTTCATTCGTCGACTACTGGGAGAGGACGCCCAATTTTTGCATATCAAGATACTTATACAGCGACTCCTGCGACGGACTTGTTTTTAATTTACATATTCCGTCTTTAGCATGTCATGCGGAATATGTGCCCTTTTTTTTGGTAAGTAATTTCCCTTTTCGCCACATTTTCCGTCGTAGAATACACGCGACGCGCCGTCGCTTGGTTTGACGAGGCAAGTCGCCGTTTTCTTCGCTATAAATAATTAGGAAACTGAAATTTTGGTATAATATTAACACAAATGACCGTGTAATTAGCAGCATGTATTTTTGTGTAATTAATTTCTAATTTATTCAATTGAAAAAAACAAAAAAAATAAATCAATAAAAAGTATATTTCGTCTCCAGATATAAAAAAATTATGAACATTTGCTGTTTCTAAAGCAAAAAATCTTCCTTAGTGAAAATCGCCAATGGTTTAAAACGATGAAAATGTCACCTTCGACAAAAGAAATACTGCATTTAATCATTGTTTATATATGTGGTTATGTATGAGAGACAATGTGAGTGGACAAGTGAGAATGAAACAAAACAAATTTTAGGAAATGTTATTTTCCTCATGAAATTAGGTGTACTACTCAGAAAGCCAAATGGCCCACATGTGACCCGCGGGCCATAGTTTGCCTATGACCTAACAGTGTGTTATTGATTACTACAAGAGAGGGCAATCTCAAAGGTGATGACGCCATGTCTGAGACAGACACAAAAAGCCTGGAATTTCAGACCTTACACACGCACGCACGCGCGCGGGTGCAATAAAAGTGCGTGAGAGTGAGCATAGTAAGAGAGAGAGAGAGAGAGAGAGAGAGTGAAAGAGAGAGAGCGAGAATAATATGTTTTGTAAGAGAGGGTCAAAGAGAAAAACATGAGTAAAAGAGAAGAAAGGGGGTGGAGTCGTATATAAGGAGAAACCTTTCTCCGCCTACGGCAGGATGCATGACTCACATAACTGAAAGATTTCAGTTAATGCGCGTTTTTGTAGGCCGATGCATCTGATGCGTGTCCCAAGCCGCTGAGAGATGGGTGTTTTTATCGTGGCAACATTTCTAGAATTGTTGACAACCAAGGCCTGTTATACTCTTTGACCCAAAGTTGGTCAATTGAGAAGAGGTGATAATGATATTTGCACTTAAGTGAATGTAAGAAACTCGACCAGAATTCGAACTCGACTCTCCAATTTCTTATTCCGAGACGCTTTCTATTACACCACCCGCTCATCCACAAGTATGCAAGAATAAAAAGAAAATACATGTTTGAGAGAATTAGTGTAAACAGTAGAGAAGATATGAAACATAAAGCGGATGAATGTAGCAGAGAGAGAAGGTGACGCTTTGCGTGAGCGAGAGGGAGAGAGATAAAAAGGGAAATAATATGAGAGACGAAAAGAGAAAGAAAAGGGAAATAAAATGAAAGAGACGAAAAGAGAGAAAAGGGAAATAAAATGAAAGAGGCGAAAAGTGAGAGAAAGAAAAAAGGGAAATAAAATGGAAATAAAATGAAAGAGAGGCGAAATGTGAGAAAGAAAGAAAAGGTAAATAAAATGAGAGACGAAAAGAGAAAGAAAAGGGAAATAAAATGAGTCGAAAAGTGAGAGGGAAAGAAAAGGGAAATAAAATGAGTCGAAAAGTGAGAAAGAAAGAGAAAAGGGAAATAAAATGAAAGAGAGGCGAAAAGTGAGAGAGAAAGAAAGAAAAGGGAAATAAAATGAAAGAGAGGCGAAAAGTGAGAGAGAAAGAAAGAAAAGGGAAATAAAATGAAAGAAAGGCGAAATGTGAGAAAGAAAGAAAATTGAAATAAAATGAAAGAGAGGCGAAAAGTGAGAGAGAAAGAAAGAAAAAGGAAATAAAAGCAGAGAAAGAAAAAGGAGGGCGGATAAAAAGAGAAATACAGAGATAAAGAGATAGAAACTACTATTTTTTGGCGCGAAAAACATATCTGTTTATGTTTGCTTCGTTGAACTTGAAGAGGCTTCTTTGGCAAACGATTTTGTTCTTTTTTTGCGGGAATGGTCATCTTTCATTTTGCCAATAATTACAAGAGGATGGGAAGTTCTTAGAAAGTTCTTCCAAATTAGAACCAGCCTCAGTTATCTACAGGCGAAGTATTTGCTTTGAAGGTTGCACTAAGATCAGATTGTTTTCGAAAAATATACTCCCCCATAAAAAGAAAAGAAAAAGAAAATGGAACACGTAAAAATATTCTTTACTTGTGGCGGAAGACTTATTCTTCACTCTCCGGTTTCTTTCCCACGGCCACAATGTCAAAAAACCTACAGCTACTCTGTCGCTATTTCCGTGGCAAATGTTCAGATGAGCACAAATCTTTAGTTCCACGAATTCAGACATTTACTGCTAGGACACGCCATACCATTTCCACGGAGGCAAATCAGTCTTATTTTTTCCGTTTCTTCAACTGTAAGAAGGCTTAGAGCATATTACGTTGAAACATTGGTTCTCGTCCGATCACCGAGGTTAAGCAACGTTGAGAATGGTCAGTACCTAGACGGGTGAATGCTTGGGAATACGATGTATTTTAAGCTTGGACGTGTGGATAGTGGAATGAATAACGGCTCGGATGGCAGAAATCGGAGAACCGAGTTCCAATTCGAGTTGGGTTCGTTATATTCACTTACGCGCAAATAACATCGTGAAAAACATGAATCCAGCTCTTCTGTACCCACCTATAGGTTAATTAGTAGGACTTGTGTCAGTAAATCATTATCATCTCTCAAAAATTCTTACAATCTAAAAAACATATTCTGAATTTAAATAACTTTATAAACGTAGACAAACCGTAAAAACAAATCAATCAATCATCTCCATTACCTTCGCGTTCCTTTCATAAGGAACAAGTTCCACTCAGGCCGCTTCAGAAAGGTTTTGGGGAATGTTAAGTCACCTTTTAACTGCTGGTGTTCCCAGGTTCACTCTGATCACTGACCACTGTGCCGTTGCCTCCCTCTGTCTTTTTTTACAAATACTTTCACGGTAACTGCTCTAATGAGCTGCTTTCGCTGGTTCCCATAATTTAAGCGTTCAACTAGGCTGGCGTTTCGCTCCCACCCTTTCATTGTCGAAACTGTTAAATGCAGCCATCTCTTCTACTCCAATAGTTTCATGGCTCGCACTTCTCGCCTGTGGAACTCCCTCCCCATTTCTTGTTTTCCTGATAGCTACAATCTCCAACTATTCAAATGTAATGTCAATCAACATCTCCAGATGCCTTGATCTATCCCTATCCTTCTCTTCATCCTTTCCTCTATCACTCCTATTTGCTCTCACTCCAACGCTCTGTAACGACTTGCGTGCTAGTGGCTTCCTGCATTGCTTGGAGTGAAACGCTTAAAAAAAAAGATATGAATAGATTGACATTGTCGATCGAATCGGAAGATAGACATTAAGAGATTGAGAGATTTTTTATATTACTGTTCACCTGATACAAAGCCTAAAAGCCACATGTAGAAGGTTACTGCGTGGTGTTTTATGAGAGTGAGAAAAGGCAAGAAGTAAAGTTCATGGGGCTATGCAGGAAAGATATCGGTTAACCCTAGACCTGAAGAGATCAAGATTGTAGTGGTTGGGAAAAATCCGGCTGGGAGTCTATTCCACAAAGCCGCAGATCTTGGGGAAAGTGCTGCCTGAGTGGAAAAAAAAAGCTTTCCGAATTGAGAAGGGTTCACACTTGCGAACGTCCCAGTTAAAGGTCAGAGTTGGATGAATATAGCTCGTCAGAACACATGTCATGGAAAGAGCGATAGAGGCTTGCGACGTTTTGTCAGTGGAGAAAGGGGATTTTAGGGTGAAAAATAATTCATCACCCACAAGTCCACGTAGACGATTTTGAACTCTGTCAAGATAAGAAAGTCAGGACAGTGCAGCTCCAGCCCAGACATATGCACAGACTTAGACTATATATATATATATATATATATATATATATATATATATATATATATATATATATATGTGTGTGTGTGTGAAAAAAAAATTGAAGATGGAACGAGCTTACTTTAATTCAATTCAATTTAATTCAAATAATTATATTGAAGTTTTCGGCTCTTGTTTTGAAACATGAGAACTCTTATGTAGCGTGTTGGAATCATATTTTTAAATAAATAATCATATATATATATATAATATATATATATATATATATATATATATTAAATAGCAGTGTTAATGTGATTAATGGCGAAATCACTTCGCTAACAGAATTTAATGAGACATTAACTTACTATCAATTACTTGAATCCTTATATTCGAATTGTTGTCAGATGGAAGACACATGCCGAGTACTTTCAACAATTTCAAATTGTCATCGGTTTAGGGGTAGGATCTCTGACTGATGCCAAATCGGTCGAGTTTCTACCCTGGCTTGAAGCAATCGGACGTCTATCCACACTGAAGAGCTGTGATACAGCGAAACAGTCTGTCTGTGGATGACATATATATATATATATATATATATATTAATATTGCTATTCAATTTTTTGTATACATTGTTTCTTTGATATGAAATATAAGCTGCATACACTATTTACATTATTTGGACTATTGTCCTCATCTTTGTTGCCATGTTTATCACAACGTTTCGGTCGTCGTAAGCTCCGGCCTTCTTCAGGTGGTTGGAATGTCGAACTGAACCCCTTATTTCACTCACTGGGGTACTCTTCTAGTTCCACGTGCCATGTCTAATGGATGTCAGTTATCCACTGTTAATTCTCCTCTGAAAGTTCTCCACTGCCTTAACCAGGTATTGAACTCACACTCTTTGGGTCCCGTCATTGGATCTAAATAACGCCTTTATCTACTGTGCCATGTGTCCTCGAGCGGGAAGAGAAAAGAGTAATCAGGACGACAGACGAAAGCGATTGGCATTGCATTTAAATTTTTTACAGTTGGGAAGCATGGAAACGGAAGAGTTCCACAAGCGAGAAGTGTGAGAAAAGAAACTGTTAGCATAGAACTTAGAGGAAGTTATGATATCTTTCACAAGGTTATTTGCGGGAAAGTGAATGTAATGAACTCCGACAGAATTTGAACTCGGCTCGCCGATGTCTCGTTCCGAGACGATAATCCTTCAAACTTCACCTCCGGCAAATACGAACAGACATTATATATATATATATATATATATATATATATATATATATATATATATATATATATATATATATATATATATATATATATATATATATATATATATATATAAAATGTGTGTGTCTGTTCGTACTTGTTCCAAAATTCGCTTGAAGATGAAACAGAACTAATGCTTTTAATTTAATTATATAATTAAATTTGAAGTTTTTTTGCTTCAGTTTTTGAAATATGGTTATTACTGTGTAGCGAAGAAACCATATTTTAAATCAGTTAATTTATAATATTTATGGTCTGTAAATTTACATTGAGCACTCTTTTGTAAAAATGAAAAATATCAATAAGAACACCGGATTATATATCTTACTGTTCTTTCTTTATATATATATATATATATAGAGAGAGAGAGACTGGAATAGATATGAATAGAAACATATAGATGGAAAGATCGATATGAACAAACTGAGAGATGTATCCAGAGACTGAGATATATGACGAGAAAGACACACACACACAGAGGAACAAGGATAGCGTGAATTAATGATAGAATATAAAAAGCGAGTAATTAGAATGCCTCCAGCGTAAAACTGCCTTCTTTCACCTGAAGTATTCAGTTACAAGTGCATCCGGTGAGATAACACAAACAGACTGCTAGAAAACAGACATCGTCGATTATCGCAAAACACAAATTAGTTTATCACTCTGCATCGCATATGCGTTTACTTACTATCAACCGGTTGTGAAGATGCCAATCAATCCTCAAATACCACCTTCGATATAAAGCAATTACTACATAGTTCCTGAGCGAAAGTAACAATCGCTGTTTCTACTGAGTCAGAGCTCGTCTTGTTATATATATATATATATATATATATATATATATATATATATATATGCACATTTCATTGAATACAACAGACAAGGTGCTTTGATTTATTTTTTTTTTATACAATTTCTCATGCGATCTAATATTTTTTTTCTTTTCAGATGTGGTGAATAAAGAAAACAGCAACCAGCGAGTAAATTCAAGCTTTCCCAACTGGTATTTCAACCTCGAGTCGTTCCTTCTTGAGTTCTGTCTCAAAATCGCACTAAGAGACTTTTCTAGCCGCCAACCGTGAACGTCACTCGAAGAACTCCCCACACTGGGAAAAATTAGTTGCTTTTATATTTGTCCATATACCCATAATTCCCTAAATTGTCTGCAAGTGAACGTGGTGTCATTGTCAGTCAGTATTTCAGTCGGCGGGCCTCGTTCGTAGAAGACTGTCTCTAGCTGACGAATGACACCAGCAGAGTCTTGCCGTCTCAGTGGCCGCCATACTGCAAAACGGGAGGGACTACAATCAATGACTGTAAGAAAATGGCTATCATTGTAATGGGTCACGTCCATTGCTAACCTGCTCCAGTTTCTTCTCACACTCAAATTTCCTTTTTTTTTCCAATGCACTGGTGCTGGATCGATCGATTGGCACGCTTCGCAGGTTCTAACAACAGATTTTATCAGTTACTTAGACACCGTTGGATCTACGGTCCTAGCAAAGTACATTGTTCTTTTAACACCCGGGTGCCCACTCTGCTGATAGATGTGGGTCACCTGACGTTTGTTGAACTGGCTCGTTGCACTGGCACAACTCATTTGCACCGGTTCTCCTCCTTTCTTGTGCATCTCTAACCAGCGTTGCGGCACTCTGGTGAGGCTGTCAGCGCGGTTCTGACAAGATTTTACCAACGTCACAGTCATAGTCAGTCGACCCAGTACTTTCTGAGCGACTGTTTGGTTGTACTCTCTTCCTACGGACGGGAGGAACCCGAAGGGGGCTACGCCGAGGGC